ATTTTGTGAAATTTGAATTTCGACGCGTTTTTGACCCGATTGTCGACGACGTCGTCCGAGCGACCCCGGATGACAAAACAGACTGCGTCAGCGCGTCCACAACGTCAATTTTGCCTAGGGAGGACACCCATTTTGTCGCGTCGCCGCGCGCGAGTAAATTGTGTTTTAATTAATATATATATATTTATATATATATATATATATATTAATTAATCTTTTACCCTTCCCCCCTTTCCTCTTTAACCCTTGGCATTCCCTGCGTGCGAGCTCTGTCTCCCTTCCTTTTCCCGTTCGCGTGTCTGACTCTTTCCTTTCTCGGTCTCGAGCTGAGCGAGCTCTTTCTCCTCCACGCGAGGGAAGAGTTGACCTTCGTCCGTCCTTCCCTGACTTTCTTCTGCCCTCGGCCTTCCTTCCCGAAGCCGCGCCAGTCCCTTGAGCCGTGGGTTTTCTTCTCTCGGTAGTTTGACTCTGGGAAACTTGTTCCCTGGTACACTGAAATGGCATTTCTCCTCCTCTTCCTGATGCTTCCCTCGCTGCCATTGCTCTCGCCGCTCGGTCTGAGAGATGTCGTTGGCTTCGCCTTCTGTCGGCAGGGAGCATTTCTTTTCTTTTTGGCCCGATTCGAGTGTCGTGGACTGTTGGGGGGTGGTTTTCTTTCTCTTCTCCTCTATTCTCTGCCTATAAGGATAGTTCCTTTGTTTTTTTGAGAGGTTGTTGAAAAGTTTGCAAGAGGAGAGGAAAGGAGATTTCTGGAAGAGCATTTCTGGAAGTTTTCTCCCGATTCGAGTGTCGTGGACTGTTTGAGGTGGTTTCCTGTGCTGCTGTGCTTTAGCATTCTTGAGGTACCCCTCTCTTTCCCCCCTTCTTCGGTGTCCTGTTTCCTCTCGGTTTTCCTCTCTGTCGAGCCTTTGAGCTTAGATCTATTGGGTGAATACAACATGCTAGTTCATTTTACTTTAACATATTGTTGAGATATTCATTTCAGGTGCACTTAAAATGAAATGTGGGCATGTCCTAAGAGCTGAACTTGGTTATTTGCTTGAATTAGAGATTGCATCTTACTGTTTTATGCATGTTTGGGGGCTCGGTTTTGGCTTCCTGTGGCACTCCTTGGTTTGAAATATATGCTATGAGAAAAATCTATTTAATTTAGAGGGTGTTGGGGCTCCGTTTTGGTTCGGTTTGGAACCTTGGTTTCGGCTTGAAATGGCTAGAGCTGCATTTTTA